ATAGTCTTGGCCACAAGTCTTTTAGTCTACCGGGGGCATTATCATGTGCATGAATATTCATAACACAAGGCAGAGGAAGTCTGGGTGCATGGCTGATACAAAATAAAATATCATGAGAGTGAAGGCGGAGAGAGAGAGATCTCTTTAAGTTGAGGTATTTGAGGAAGGATTTATGAAGGAGATGGTAGTACAATTATGCCTTAACTAAAGGATGGGGAAGGATTTTGACAAGTAGTCATAGGGGTGGGAGGAGTGAAGGAAATCCATCCCAGGTTGAGAGCATAGTGTGAACCCAGATAAAGGAGAAGGACAAAGTGTGCTCAAAAGGAGCAAAGAAATCTGGTTTATCAGGACCATGGAAAATAATAAAATTTAAGGCCTGCAAGACAGGTTATAAGCAGATAGCCACGAGCCTTGAATGCTTTTTTAAAGATTTCATGCTTTTATCTTATTGACATTGGGTGAAGTTAAATATTTGTATTCAGAGTTAGGCCTTAGAAGGATAATTTTGACATAAAATGAAACAAAAATGGGTGTAGGGGGTAGAGGAGATATCTTCAATAGTTCGAGAGATAAAGAAAGTCTTTATCAGAGTGACAGAATAATTTGAGTTACATAGCAAAGGTGGAATCAAATGGTTGGAGTGGCTAGCTGAATACGGGGTATATATAAGAAGATAGTGCTTGGGTGACTATCTGGAGGTGATGCCATTCATTAACTGAGGATGTGACATAGGAGGCAGTCTTGGAGGGAACATGATGAATGTAGTAAAGTTCCTGAGAGAATAATGCCAGTTAATTACAAGCACACTCCGACCAAGTCATATTTCTAAACGTAATTGTGTATGTGGTAATTTTGGTGTTCAACAACCAAAAAGTAGTCCAGTTTATGATAATGTTTGCACCCTGCTCAAAAATACCCACATGTATTATTATCTATCAAATTTGATTTCAACCCATCATTCTACTATTTCTCCCAGTTGGATCACAATCTTTTGTGATTCACCTTCAAATTTGCTTTCTAGATTTAAGTCCCAACTCTTGATTAAATATAACTTACGCCTTAACTTAATATGTTACTTCTGTTTAATGGACCACGTCACAAAATCACACCTCTATCATTTTACTTATAATTATTCCTTCCACCTGGAAAGTTCTCAGTTCCCTTTCAAATTTGCCCATTCTTAAAAAATCACCCCAAGCACCACACTATCATGAAACCTCCCTTTATAGAGTTAATTGCACGTGTTCATTCCTTCTTTTTATATTCCCATGCCACTGTTTATACTCCTATTGTTCTGTTTTGCATTAAATCTTTGTGTAACTATTATACCTTCTTACTGAATTATAAGCTCTGAGTATAAAGAAAATGTACACCTCTCCACTTCTTACCCATAACAGGTGCTCATTAAACTTAATTCAAAACATACCTGCCAGCATCCATGTGGTTGTTGTTGCTAGGTGCAGACGAGTTAATTTTGACTCTTAGCGACCTCATGTTACAGAGTAGAACACTGCCCCATAGGGTTTTTTTGGCTGTAATCTTTACTGGAGCAGAGCTGCAGGCCTTTCTCCCGCAGAGCCGCTGAGTGGGTTCGAACCGCCAAACTTTTCGTTTAGCAGTCTAGCACTTAACCTGGTGCCACCAGGGCCAACATCCGTAAATTATATTAAAAGTAGAAACGTTCAATAGGAGAATACAAATACATGAACTGACAGCTGTCTTAGAAATTACCCTTAGTCTGAAGGGAACAATATAAGATATGGATTGGAGCAATGCTTCTTGTTCTTTTAATATGTGTGCAAATCATCTGGGGATCTTGTTAAACACAGATTCCTGGCCCCAGCCTCAAATTTTGAGTCAGTATGTCTAGGGTAGGATCCATGAGTTTGCATTTCTAACCAACTCCCAGATGCTGCTGATACTGCTGATGCTGCTGGTCTATGGACAACACATTCAGTAGCACTGGCTTAAGGGCTAAGTTTGTCATCAGAATACCTGGGCTTAAATTCTACCACCATTCCACAATTTACTGGTTTATTGAGCCTCTTAAGCTTCAACTTCCTCATCTGTAAAATGGAAGTACTAATGGTACCTTTTGGAGCCCAAGTGGTGCAGTGGTTAAGAGCTTGGCTGCTAACGTAAAGGTCAGCAGTTCGAGTCCACCAGCTGCTCCTTGGAAACCCTATGGGACAGTTCTACTCTGTCCTATAGGGTCCCTACGAGTCGGACTCTACTCATCAGCAATGGTTTGGGTTTAATGGTACCTTTCAGGACTGATATGACAACTCAAACAGCTGATGTATAAGACATGCTTCTGTCAGTACCTGTCCCATACTACGTGTTCAAGAACCTGGGTTTTAGCATGAGTATTTAATATTGCAAATAAGGAAACAGATTCCTAAAGGACAGGAGTCGTTATACTACATCCTCAGGCTGAATCTGGCTTACTGCCTATTTTGGTAATATCAGTGAACTAAGAATGGTTTTTACATTTTTAAATGGTTAAAAAATGTTAAAAGAATAATACCTTGTAACGTGAAAATTGTGTACGATTCAAATTTCAATGCCCATAAAGTTTTATTTGAACACAGACACATACATTTGTTTACATATTGTTTATGGATGCTTTTATGTTATAACAGCAGAGTTGAGTAGTCATGACAAAGACTATATGGCCAGCAGAGCCTAAAATATAGACTAGTTGGCTCTTTACCACAAAAGGTTGCTAACCCCTAATGTAGCATCAAGTGACTTTATCAATGAATTATTGGGACTAGAATCATCAATGTTTCTGTTGTCTATAGTGGCAATAATGTTCAGTGGCTATAGTTTATTATAATGTAACTGTAACAAAGTACTAAAGGATTCTTACATACCAATGATAAAAAGAATGGGAAAATAAGATGAATTTGAGGGATAAGTGGTAAATGGGATAATTAGCATCAAAGCTTCCCAAACCAGGAAATGCTATTAGATGTCCCAACCCACTTTTTTAAAAAAACAACAATATTTATTGTCCTTTTTTCTCATCATAAAAGCATACATGTTTATGGTATTTGGAAATACAAAAATGTATACAGTATATAAATTGGTCATATTCCCAGTATTAGAGATAACCACATTTAAACATTTTTTTTTACAAAATTGGGATGTTACTGTACAATATATTTTTAATGGAACATTTCTCCAATATCCTCATATCATCTCTGAAAACATTGTATTTAACGGCTAATGATGTCCCATTGTTTGGTATGCCATGATTCATTTGATTATTGCCCTCATTATTGGATGTTTAGATTATTCAGGTTTTTGTTATTATATGTAAATATAAATATAATTTTATGCCAATCTGTGATTTTTTCTGCTATGATAAATTAGCATAATAAAAACAACTTTTGTCTAAATGTGGGCTGCTTTCAAGGGAAGTGGGGGAAAGAGAAGTTCAGAGACAAATGGGAAGAAAGTAAGATTAATTGGGTCAGAGCCAGTCTCTCTCTCTCACACACCAATTTTGGGGATTTCTACCTAAAGATAAGTAACATTAAGTGACTTACATAATCTTTGACCAACTATGATTTTTTTTTTATTTTTTATACCCCATTCTTAAACCTATACCATTACAATCGGGAAAACATCGTTTTGTTTTGGTTTAAATTCCCCCTTCCCTTAGAAAAAAAGGCAATGATCTTATCAAAAATATTTTATTTACAAAAGAATCAATTATACTATACATCCTATGCTGGAAATACATTGAATAATTGCTAAAATAAATACAGGCAATTAATTCAACCTTTTAAAAGAAATGAGAGAATTTGACACTTGAATGTTATCAAAGCTTAACTTAGAACATAAATAGTTAAAAAGGCAAACTCAAGTTTTAGCCTCATTTATTGGCAAGGTGTGTTTGTTTCCCACAAGCTCTCCAATTAGTGAGAGTCTGAGTTTCACAACGTTATGTACGTTTTTGTACTCCAAAGGTAGAATGTGCAGCTTTTTCTTAGGCAGAATTATTGTCCATGGATATCTGCATAAAAAGGACGCAGAAAGGCCGGAAGCACATTGTTGAACACTTCTCCACCTGTCTCTGCTTCAGCACAATGCTTTTCATGCAATTATTCATGTACTCTAATTGTGTTTTTAACCAGGTCTACACAGCACCAGCTACAAGGCAAGACTGATTGTGTTGAAAGCCCAACTGGATAGTTGGGGCCCTGGAGTAACTAAATCAACCAAGTTCAGAGTGCCTGTCTCATCAATTTTTATATGTGCCAATTCTTAATGAGCTATTAAACGTTGGTATCATTTCTACTGTGTAAACATATTTATATAGGCCAAGTACAGGAGAGATGAAGCAGTTGTCTGTATAATTCAGAAGAAATCCTGCCCTGAAAGTAAAAGAGGACACTTGGAGCTTGAATTTGCCAGTTTTGAATCTATTTGCTTTAAATTCATTATAATTTATCCAACTTTCCCATGTAAACCTCATATCTAACATGTAAAGTGTAGTGGCAAGCTGAAAAAAGGTAAAACGTGTTCAATACACAGGCAGGATCTGGGGAATTTAGGCCACAGAACAAAACCTTTGATGAACTGCATTGTGTTTCTCCAAATTATATAGATAATTTTTTCCACTTTCCATTTTACTTGGCCTGGGACAACACTGCCAGGATGTCCAAAGATTATTCATCTTCAATATTCATGTTTTGTCCAGTGCTGCATTCTCGGTGTTTTCCTTATTCAAGAATTAGCATTCCCTTTTATCTTGTGAAAAATTGCACTTTTCTACCCCTTTGGCCTTGATTTTCAATTTTTTTTTTTTGTACACACAAGAATATACCATATTTTTACGCTAATAACGCACGGCTTCTACATTTGTTTGCCAGCTGTACCCTCCCCCCACAAGGTATTTTTGTAAGAGTGCTATGCTAATTTTTTTACAGCAACATGTTAAAAAAAATTGGCATAGCAACGCTTATGGAAATGCCTTGCCGGGGAGGGCATGGTTGGTAAACAAATGTAGAAGTCACCTGTTACTTGCTTAAAAATATAGTACTTTTACTCCCAAGGTGTGACAGTTACATTGGCCTTTTCTAAAAGAAATGAAAAAAAAGAAGTTAAAATATCCAAAGTTTAAATACTTTTTCACAGAAATAAACTATTCAATTTTAAAAGTTAGAGAGAGAGAGCAACATTTTATTCTTTCTATCATCAACAACATGATTCAACCAAGCTTCACATTTTGGGCAGGATTTTTTTTAAGTATGAATTTTTTCAAAACCTATTTTATAAAAAAAAAAGGAAGAACAAGTGTATTTTGGCAGAGAAGTAAAATATAGAATATGCAAAATTTGTTTTAAAAATTGGCATACAAAATTTTAAAACACAGTACAATTATATAAAAATACAGCATAGCCAACGGCTTAAAATTTCCTTTGGCATTTCATTTGGTAGAGTTAAACATAAAATCCTTCCTAAAAAGATTAGCGATCAAAACAGTCCATAAGTTAGGTTGTATAGGTTGAAAGAACTTTCCTTGAGTTTCTAAAATCCTTTTCTTCCATGATAACCCACATAAAGCATGGCTAGTGAGGTATATAGGGCAAAACACTGTCAGGCGGATGCACAGTAAGGAAAAAGTGCATAAACAAAGAAGCCATCCCATTTTCATAGGAATCAAAGGCTAAATCTGAGTTTCTTCTTGTTTGATGTATCATTTTACTTTGGCAGAATCAAAATAAACTCATAGAAATGTCTTTGTTCAAGTCCCAGCAGCAGTGATATGTCTCTCTTGGTGGCATTATCTGATGCCACAATACCGTACAGTTTCTAGGGGAACCAAGGTGTTATGTGTGTCTGCGTGTGTGACTGCAAACATCAAACAATATAAGATCATACATCAAGCACCATGTCATACTGTTGCCCCTTCTTCCGCCTGCCACACTTATTGATGAGAACCACATACAGCGTCAAAAGCATGACCCAATAGCATGCATAGAGTAATGTTCCAACGATTAGAACGGTCTGTTTGGATTCTGAAAATGGCTTTTTAGATTCCTTATAAATGGTGAAAATCACACCACCCAGAAGGATTGTAAACCAAACCGATACTGGAATGAGTCCTATGAAATTAACAACGATGGTTTTCCTTCCAGATGTGCCCCACCCAGCTTTGTTTATGGTTGCGATCGCAAACATCTTGGCGGGAAGCAAACTTGACATGTATAAAACCGAGTAGAGGGACATGAAGACCATGACGATATTTCCTCTAAGGCAGCTGGCGAAGGATGATTTTATGAGACCTACTAACTGGACAGTTAACAAGAAGAGGAGGATGTTCCAAATTTTTCCCCGGTAGAAGAGCTGGATGACTGTGGCAATGAGAAAGAAAGGAAAGAATCCAGTGATAACCGCTTCGTAGGTCATCCACAAGTGATGTTTGTGAAACCACATGGCATTGTACAGCCACTCTCGGAAGTAGGACTTGCTCCAGCGGGTCTGCTGGTTTAACCACCTGAGATATTCTATAGGTGTTTCAGTAAGGCACTTGGATCGAGCTGTGTATTTTGTTGCATAGCCTAGACTCAGCACCCGGTTCGTTAGATGCCGGTCATCACCGAAACTACATTGGCTGCCCATAAATTCCTGATTGTACCAGTCTTCTACAAATTCATGGAGCAAGGAGTTTCTGTACATTCCCAGAGGTCCACTAATGCACTGGACGCATCCAAAATAAGACTGACAAGCTCTTTCTATGTTAAAAGCCATCCAGTATCTCACACTGCTGAGGAAGGAGATCCAGGAATCATACTTGTTTAAAATCTGAAAAATAATGAGTAAATAAATGAATAAAGAAATAAATAAACGTTAAGCTTTACCCCAAATAACCAACAAACCTGTACCATCCTGAGGTTACTGCCTAGACTGAGGTTTGTTATTGTATCCTTCTATTTTGGTTTCCTTGCTCTTTTTGACATGGTTTCATTTTGTTTTCTCTGATTCTGTATTGTTGTTGTTGATAGGTGCCATCGAGTCTGTTCCGACTCATAGTGACCCTATTGGACAGAGTAGAACTGCCTCATAGGGTTTCCAAGGAGCAGCTGGTGGATTTGAACTGCAGACCTTTTGGTTCGCAGCCAAGTTCTTAACCATTGAGCCACCTAGATTAATTTGCTAAGTTGTTGTTGTGTGTATTTGACAGGGACCCTTTGATGGTATTTGTTTTTCTCCTTCATACCCTCTACTCTCTTTGCTGTTATGTTTTCTGTTCTTGTTATTTTATTGTATTATGAGTTTTTTTAGACTTTAGTTCTCAGCTCACAAATTCTTTTTCCAGACACTCTTTCCTAGAAGGTATTTAAGTCCTACTGTCTGCTGTTCTGCCTACATTCCAACTTATCCACTTCTTGGCCGTTAAGTTTCCTTCTCCTTCCTCCACGCTTTTCTGCAGTGCCAGTGATAAGAGGCTTTGCCGTGGCCTTCCAAATTTGAGTCCTGAAATGATGTTTTCTATACTAAAATTTATCAGCTTTCTCTTGCCAGTATTTCTTGAATTTTCCCCCCTGTCTCATTTTGTTCAGTTTTCATGTGGATTTTGCATGCTTTCATTCTTTATATTGCCAGGCTATTTCTCTGTCCTCTGTAGTGTGTTCTCTTTGACTTCATTATCACCATACTCATACAGCAACAAAATACATTCTTAATTCAACTTTCCCATGTGCTTTTCACCTTTTGCTAAAATCTGACTTCACATTTGCAAGGGACTCACTTTAATCTTCACATCTTCTCATCTATTTATTTTTCTGTCTCCTAAATTACACCTTACCTTCATTAATATGTGTTTCATTGTTTCTCCATTGATAGAAAATTATGAGTCATATTAGAGACCTCAATATGTAGATGTTTCTTTGCTTTTCTCTCTAGTATGAATTTTAGTGCTAAATTCATTTGTTTTCTAATTTGGGTTTTTTGATCAATCACATATCTGGCACTTTTTAAATATATAGGTAAAGGATACAGACTCTATTCCATGCCATAACTTCCATTTCATAACCCCTCAACTAAATGAATTTTTAACATCAAATTTTGGCAAAACATTAAAGTATTGCTCAGAGAGATACGACAGAAATCATTACACCTTTATGTTATGTGGTTTATAACTTATCAGTCCCTATAGACATGCATTTTATTCCAGAACTAAGTAAGGAAAGCATTTCAATTTAGACAGATGAAGGGCAGTGCAGTGGGTACAAGGCACATTCTAATGTGTCTCCAGCACAAAAAACAATACCTGGTACAGAGCTGGTACATAATATATATGTGTGCAATTAATCAATGAATAAGAATTAGTGCTACTAAAAGTGTCTGTTGCAAAAAGTGAAGACATATATATGCACCTGGACATCTCCCCCAACTCCTCCAACCATGGGGTCTTCTTCTAAAACTTTAACCATCTCCACGGATGAGGCAGGGTCCAGCATGGTATCTGAATCACAAACCTGCAAAGAAGAAAGTAGAAAATGAGTTAAAGAAAAGGAAGAACTATAAGTGCATGCCATACCACCAAAACTGGGTATATAACACCCTCAGTTGTATCGTCACGAGGCCTCAGTAAGCAAGTATCATAGGGATGATAGAGGGTTTAATTATATCATGACCAACACAAAGAGCTTTTCTTTAGCAAGCTCAGTGTTTACATTAATGGCATTGTTGGTTGCAACAGCTGAAGTGATATGCTAGGTATGTCATGTAGGGTGATCTGTAGGGTGACCAGCTTGTCCTAGTTTTCCAGGGACATCCTCAATTTTAGCACTGAAAGTCCCACATCCTGAGAAACACCCCAGTCCTGGGCAAACTGGGACACTGGTTACCCTACATGTCTTTTTTTTTTTTTTTTTCTCCTTTCTATTGTCTTAAATAAGGCTTTTAGGCAACTTGCCCTTAAGGTCTGAATGATGATGGGGGAAATTCTGTAACAATATTGAAAGTAAAGTGTGTTTCACAATGATTTTTCTTTTTCCATTTTAATATGATGAGTAAAAGAAGGGAGAACAATGATTCTACTGATTGTTGTATAGTTAAGCAGCAAGACACCCAGGTGTCCTCGGCTTAGCAGATGATATTGCATCCTGAAGAGAACTAGAATGAGTTTCAGAACACCCTGTTATTCCAGAGAAGTAAAATATTTATCTAGGTCATTGGATTTAAGAGCAGATGTAATCACCTTTAAGCCATTCTAGATATGCCAATCACTGTTCTTAAAAACAATCTTTATATGAGTCAAAAAAAAAAAGCATTTCTGAAACCAAACCAACCTCAAGATTATTACTGGAATCCATCAGAACCAGGGATAGCTCTTCTAAAGACAAGGCACTGCTGGTAAACCCCTGACAGACATTTCTTTTGGGGATCCAGGACTGTGGGATTAAGAAGAGAGACAGTACTTCCCTTTCCAGCCTAACTTCTGAACTAGTTGAAAAATAAAACTAAAGAATAAGTCAGATGTGGAACCAAAATATCACCATTACATCGATAAAGCTGATACGGAGAATATGGTTTACACCTGTGAAGTGGGCTTCATAATTCTGTTCCCCAGTCTTACTCAGTCCCAAAAAGAAGGTGGAACCAGGCTCCACCTGTAGATCTGGAGCCTGACCCTTCAAAATGTATGGCAGATGCCTGCTCCATGTGGAAGGAGAGGCTAGGCTACCCATACTGGACCCTTCTTCCAAACTCACCAATCAGATTAAGTTATTCCTCTTCTTTTGGCAAGGAAGAAGTGAGACAGCTGGGGAAGGCCCAGGGAGGCTCCCCCTGTGGATGGCGTTTCCTCCACATGATCACACAAACAACTCAGGAGTAGACAAGAAGTGCCCCACCTCCCTAAGCTTCCTAATCAGGACATCATATTCTTTTCTACTAAGTGCAGCAAGTCCCGAGAATCCTCCAGGCAGCAGTTATAAATTGACCGGAGTTGGCAGGTAATGAACGAGTCTGACATCCCCATCCAGACAGTGAATGACATGACTGGCAGGCTCAGGAGTTATCTGCAATTATGCCATTTAGTCTGGCTATGCTGGTTGGATTTAATCAAGGTTTAACCTACTTACTTATATCAAAAGTAACTATCTAAACAGTTCTCCAAACCACTCTTTATAAAACTCTTTATAATAATAGAGTTTGATGCACTGGTTTTAAATTAAAATAAAAATGAAGAAAACAATGTGTAGAATCATAACTCTAGGGGTTGAAGAGCGCTTTATATGTATGTGGAAACCCTGGTGGCATAGTGGTTAAGAGTTCAGCGGCTAACCAAAAGGTCGGCAGGTCGAGTCTACCCAAGGTGCTCCTTGGAAACCCTATAGGGCGGTTCTATTCTGTACTATAGAGTCACTATGAGTCGGAATCCACTTGACAACAACAGGTTTGATTTTTTTTTTTTTTTAACATGTATGTAGCATGAGTCCCTCACATTGTTAGCTGGAAACCAACATTTCTAAAAAAAAAGCACCTACCTTTTTCTTATCAATAGTTTTTTTTTTTTTTTTTTTTTTTCTGAAAGGTTATATGTTAGTGAAAAAATGTTAGTACAAATAATTTAAATGCATTATTGGAACTTATGACTTAAGAAGTATATGATGTATTTGTTTGTAAAAAAGTGAACTTATTGCCCCTCCAGATTTAACTAATGATAGCAAATTTGGGGTTAATTTCTGAACGTTTTATTTAGTTTATTCTGAAGCATACACACACACGTTTAATTGGCTTTTGGCATTCCATTTTGGTCCAACATGGTGTCATTTATTTTAGAAAAAATAAGCGGCAAAAGGCTAGGCATTAGTTTTTCCCAGTAGGAAATGTTGCTGTTGTTAGGAGTCAAGTTGATTTTGACTCATAGTGACCCTATGTGACAGACTAGAGCCACTGAGTGGGTTCCAACTACAAACCTTTTAGTTAGCAGATCAGCACTTACACCAGGGCTCCTGATAGGACTCTGCTAATTCTTGCGTATATACCCAAGTGTCCCAAGCCAGAGGAGCCTAGCAAATTCCTCCAAAAGTGTTGCTTTGCCTCTCCCACAACTCGTCTGTCACTGGTTTGTATACGTCTACAAGCTGGGCAGGAGCCCTGTAATGAGGGTACAGAAAGGTGAAGGAACAAATCCAAACCACCTTTAGAATTCAGCATCCTGAGAGTTTATGGCCACACCCACCTCTATTGACTTAAGCTAGGAAAGGTAAAACCAAAAGGCTAAAATAAGACAAACGACAACAGGAAGAGAGCAATCCAAAATTAATGTTTAAATAACTCCGCCTGCTTGCACGCCTAGCAAGTCAGGGGAACTGCCTCTTTGAAATGACTAAACTCGAACCACATATCTGAGGTTCTGCATACTTAAATTGGTGCCTGCTCCTCCCAGTTTCCAGCAGCAAAGTGCCAGAAGTTCTCTTAGAGAGATTGTTCTCGAGCTGGCTTTAGCTGTGTGAGAAGGGAAAACTCTCCGAAATCTCTTGGAAAGAGGTTGGTTATCGCGGGATTTGAGAGCTTTAAAGACATCCCGTTTCTGGAAGCTGTTTGGTGATAGAGCGCCAACTCTAAAGCCATTGTCTATGACAGTCTGTAAAAGCACACGTGTTCATGGACATAACAGCATTTACTTAGTAGAGTGTAAAGAGTGTAGCTCTAGCCCTTCCTAAAATTGGTAGAGACAGGATTTCTAGTGTCTACTCACCAATCAATACCAAGTATATAATTTCACAAACGTTGGCTGTTTAGCTCTGAGCTAGAATCTCTCGGAGACATCACACCAGTTTTGCAGAGCTTAGCCTCACATAGGAAGAAACTACAGGGTATGATTTACACACAGGAAACAATTAGAGAGCAAATCAAAATGATATTCTGGCCACACAGAGTGTATCATTTGTAATTTGTTTAAACCACATGGTCACCAGCCATAAGATTTCTCACTAAGAGACGTGGAAATGAAGCAAAGTTGTCAATTTTTGAGTAAAATAAGTGGAAAATGTGAAGAGAAAGAGACTTTATAGTGATGAACCAGCCATCTCAGTCTTACTCACAAAATCTCCAACTAAAGTGCATAAGACTATCACCGTGCCTTCTTGGCTATTCTAGCCAGGAATTAGCACAACACACCCCTTTCCTCCCTATAGTCTAAAACAGGGGCCAGCAAGCTACAGCCTGCAGGCAAGTCTGGCCTGCCACCTGTTTTTCTATAGCCCATGAGCTACGAATGTTTTTTTTTTTACATTTTTTAAATGGCTGAAAAGGATCAGAAAAAGAATATTTTGTTACATGTGAAAATTATATGAAATTCAAATTTTAGAGTCCGTAAATAAAGTTTTGTTGAAACCCATCTGTGCTCCTTCAGGTACATATTCTCTGTGGCTGCTTTCACACTAAAGCAGCAGAGCTGAGTAGTTGTGATACGGCCCACAAATCCTACTGTTTACTATCTGTCCCTTTACAAGTTTGCTGACTTTTGGTCTAAAATAATTGGCTGGTAGGAGAGGGCTCCACTTTCATAAAAAGAAAATTAAAATATGTTTTCAAGACCAAGTTTAACTCTGGTAGCTTTTTTTTAAAAGAAAGTAGCAGTAACTGCATAATCAGCATAAAATATTAATGAACTGAGTTTTCTTTTGCCTAGATTTGACCTATTGTAAGAACAAGTATCCTCAGAATCAAGAAGCCTAGATTAAATTCTTGATTTCTGTAACTTACTATGTCTATAGCCTTCAACAAATCATTTACCTTCATCATACAAGACACTGCATATAAAAGTACTTTGTGAATTACAAGGGACTGTAGAGATGTAACCTGTTTCCATGGAGTTGATTCTGACTCATAGCGACCTGTAGGACAGAGTAGAATTGCCCCACAGAGTTTCCAAGGAGTGCCTGGTGGATTTGAACTGCCGACCCTTTGGTTAGCAGCCACCAGAGTGGTGAAGTGGTTAAAAGCTACAGCTGCTAACCAAAAGGTCAGCAGTTCGAGTCCACCAGGCATTCCTTGGAAACTCTATGGGGCACTTCTACTCTGTTCTATAGGGTCGCTATGAGTCGGAATCGACTCGACAGCAACGGGTTTGGTTTTTTTGGTAAAAATGTAAGCTACTAGTATTAGCCAATAAACCTTAAATCTGTTATACTCCCTAAGTAATCCCACACCAAAAAGATCATGACAATCATTAAAGAGCTTCATTAAAAGGAATATGGCAATTGATTACATATCAGGAGAACCATGGCTGAGAAGGGACAGTGTTGACATGTGGGGTTGTTAGCCATTGTCATAAAACAATATGTGTACTGACTGTTTAATGAGAAACTATTATGTAAACCTTCATCTAAAGTACAATTAAAAAAATAATAATAATAAAAAAAAAAGAGAACCATGGGACCCCTTTGTCTATATCATTCCTGTAAACACCAGTTTATCCCACTGGCCTTATGAAGTTAATCTACCTCACAATGATTTAAAT